ACCAAATGCATCATGGGACACTTAGACTCCCCACTGGAGCCCACAGAGCAGTTCTCATCAGATCTGAAACCAGTGAAACTGTTCAGACTCATTAATCATGTTAAAATAGCCATTGATCGTACAAGCTTTGCTTTCCAGACGTTCACATCGGTTTCAGAACCTGACGAATCGACTGATGGAGACCTGAAAGTTGCTGCAGAGAGAAAACAGTTGTGTTTGATCCTGATTCAACCTGAGAGCAGAGAGTGTTTTTACTTTAGTTAAAGAGCTTCTGGACATCTGTCATCAGTTTATTCACTCTAGTGTCCTCTAGACCAAAACATGACTTTAATTATTGTGTGGCCTCGTAGTGGAGTCCAACGAGCCGTGAGATTGAGTCTGATCTGGTCCTTCGTACGGTCCCTGGGTTCATGTTACGTTGCACCGATTCAAACTGAAATGTACAGTTGAAAGTGGAGGTGTGATCGGTAGTGCTGCCCCGACTAAAGGACGCCCTCGTCCACGAGTAGTCTTTAGATAAAGCCGCGTACAGTTAGCGTGGCAGCAGTGGTGCAGCGGTAAGTAACTTCCTGTGTTACAAGAGAAAAGGTCCCTGATGTTTCTGTGACTATCAGACTGATGAAGTGTCCACTGAGACTCTCAGAGACTGTTGGGGGCCGGCTCTGGTGATTGGTTGTCGGGGTAACGGGGCTGAACACGTGACTGCGTGATGTTGAGTTACTCTTTAATGTCAGGAGTCTCACCACGATAGTGACTGTAAAGGATTCTCTCTGCAACAGGTTTCTGAAAGTCTTTTTAATCTGAAAGGAAATCAATCACAATGATCAGCTGTGTTCTATGAAAACCCTCTGAGACCAAACCTGTCCTCTGCTGGTCCTAAACCCAAACCCACGACCTACTGTCTGTCCCCGGGGTCAACAGTGCTCAGACCCCCGACCCCTGACCGGCGCCGGCTCTGTCAGCAGAGAGCAAGACAAACTCGTTTTATTTTTTTAACACTACATTTCCTTTATTTTTGTTTCTTTGATTTTTCAGGTTGTGTGCTGAACTTGTTTGTGTCTTATAAGGTTCTCTATATAAAATGTCTTTGTACCGCTGTCCTGTCCCCCCCCCCCATACCACTCTGTTACATCATGGCCTCCGTCACACAGTGACATGGCGGTAACGTACCGTAACAGCCTCACCGATTCCTGTCAGAGTCCAAACACCAAAAGTGAGGAAGATTCCCGATCAGACGCAAAGGTCTCAAATCTTTTAAAGTTTATTATTTTAGCTGCATTTTAAGGAAGCTCGCGCGGTCCGAACAAATAACATCAACATCTGCTGGAAAAATAAAAGCTTTGAGAAAAGTTCCCCAAAAAATATAACCAACACACGGAGAGAAAAACAGCAGTTTATATTTTAACTCTTTAAAATGTCCAAAATAAGAACTGACCTCTGCGAGGAGGCGGAGGTCAGTTTGTGTTTCAGTTTTCAACATGAAGTAAAAATAAAACCCGAGTTCACGTTTCCGTCTGTTTTCCTCCTCTGACCTCACCTGTGTGTTCTCCGTGTGTTTGACCTTTGACCTCTGCACACAGCTCGTACAGTACCTCCTATGTGATTGGTCAAAGCTTCTGGTTGGTATAGATTATTGAGGTTAAACCTATTGAATCCTGTTTATTGATTAATGATGCGTTCAGGTTCAGCAGGTGATAATGATTGATCGATCTGATAGGAAGGAATCTGATCATTGATTTCTACAATCTGAGGATTTTCTGTGTTTCTGAAGCTTTCTGCCAAACTTCATGGACTTCATCAGCTCCGTCGTCATGGAGACGCTTTTGTTATAACGTGATTTGAGTATTTTGGTCGCATCTGAACCGAAACGTTCACTTGTTTGTGCCGGTGTCGGTTTTATTTTGGACATTTTACAGATTAATCAATAACTGATCGATGTAAACAGAATCAATAAGGATAAAAACACACAGACGTCCTCCCGGTGTGACAGACAGATGGACAGTTGGACAGCTTGTTGCCACAGTAACCCTCCTCTGTTTGTTTTTAGTTGATGGTCGAGCTTTGATGCTAATAGTTAATTTTTGTATTTTAATAAGAAAAAGGAAAAAAGTGATTTTATGTATTTGCATGCACTCCGGCCGTACGTTCTTTCTTCCGTATGTTTGAGCACTGTATAGTAGCTGTATAGTAGCTGTCTGAGGTTTAGATCGAACTCCGCTCGATAGAGTAGAGACACCGAGAGAGAGACAGAGAGAGAGGACGAACCGACGAAAAACCAACAAGTGAATTATTTGATGTAATTACTGATATGGGATCCTTATTTTCTGAGTTCCTTTGTTTTCATAAATAAACACATAAACTGACACGAAGACTCGACTCTCATTCACACACAGTCTGCGTTACGTTGTGGGGACCTGCTGCTGTGTCCCCACATCGTAACACATACAAGCCTCCACACACACCTGTCTGTAGCCATGGTAACGGCTCTGTGAGGCCATACTTGAGCTAACATGCTAATATTTAGCAGGTGTAATGTTCATCAGGTGAGTATCAGAGCTTTACAGAGTTTAAGTTTATATTCCTTAACGGCAGTGAACTGGTCGTTGGTTGAATTCCATCGTTCTCGTTATTCTCCGTAACAACAGACATTAATACAAACTTTATTTAACACCTGAAACTTCTCTAAAGAGTCAAACTGAAACACTGCTGTTTACATCACAAACACTTTATAGCGCCTACATTTCCCACAATGCCCTTGAACCACACGCCTCCAGCTGAGGAAATATATACTGACAAGCTTCAAACTGCAGTGCATTCTGGTCTCTGTAGTCCGATGGTTGTTTGGAGGCTCGTTAAAGACTGCAGGCGGGTTGAGTCCACAAGAACCAGAACCACCAGACTACTGAAGGAAAACAGCTGATTTAAGGTCCATCAGTCAGGTGAGGAGAGCTTGAACACAACCTGAGAATAGTTATTGATCCTTTGTTAAATACTGACAGTTTAATCCTCTGAAGGAATAATAAACTAATTAATAATAATAATAATAATAATAACGAGGCTTCATTTGATCCAGAGGTTCTTTTCCTTTAAACTGAGTTCAGTCTGAATCTGGATCAAACTGGTCTCTGCAGGGTTCTAGTTCTGGGCTACATCACGCTGCAGATCCTGGACCGTCCCTCTGCGTCCTCCAGGCCCCTCTTGTCTCGGACCAGCACGGCCTGGTTCCCGAAGCTGCTGTACCAGGCCGACTGGCTGCGGTTCAGGTAGGTCGGGGGGGGTGCTGCCTGCAGGTCCTGCTGCTGCTGCTGCCAGACCAGCAGGGACGTGTCCCGGTACCGCAACCGGGCAAAGGCCTCTGACAGGGCCTTCTCTGCCAGGGGGGCGACCGCGACCGGGACCGGGAGGTTCCTCTGCAGGCGTCTGCTCCTCTACTGCAGCTGGATCACAGTCCGACATGGCGCTCCAGAAACCAGGAGGGGGACAGGAGAAACATCCAGATGAAGGCGGGACCGGATCAGAACCAGGTCCATCTTAAACACCTGAGGAATCCACCTGGAACCAGATGGAACAAAACCAGGTCAGAGAGCTGTGAGTAAGAACTGGATCCAGTTCTAAAGGGTCTGTTTGTTACTCTGAGACCAGGTCTGAATATTAGTGCATTTACCAATCAATCGATCGATCAGTACATTAATCAATCAGTCTACTGGCAGATAATCAATGTTTGAACTCTTTTCGTGTTTATAATAATTTTGAGGTTTGGACTAATCGAGCGCTATGAATTCTGGGTAACTGACGATATTTCTCACAATTTTTACCAATCAATCAATCAATCAATCAATCAATCAATCAGTGTATTAATGGATTAATGCCCTCCCCCACCTCCACTCACTGCAGGAGCACAATGTCAATAATCCCAGAGCTGGAGAATTCTCCCAGCACCAGCCTGAAGACTACCGTCCGGGGGCCTCAGTCACGAGGAGAGACCGGTCCTTCAGCACATCGAGGATTATGTCCCCCCAGACTGTCTCCCTCCAGACTGTCTCCCCCCAGACTGTCTCCCCCCAGACTGTCTCCCTCCAGACTGTCTCCCCCAGACTGTCTCCCCCAGACTGTCTCCCCCAGACTGTCTCCCTCCAGACTTTGACCTTCACCAGTTCTCATATCGTGTGAGCAGATCCACAGAGGACGCCATCTCCGTCTCACTCTGCACTGAACCACCTGCAGCCGCAGCAGAGCTACGTTCAGCTGCTCTTTGTGGATCACAGTTCAGCCTCCAACACTATAATCCCAGACAGACTCATCACCCAACTGGACACTCTCGGCCTTCCCCCTCTCACATGTGCCTGGATAAAGGACTTCTAACCAACCGACCCCAGACTGTGAGACCCCCACCTCTCCTCCACCTGCACCCCCAGACTGTGAGACCCCCACCTCTCCTCCACCTGCACCCCCAGACTGTGAGACCCCCACCTCTCCTCCACCTGCACCCCCAGACTGTGAGACCCCCACCTCTCCTCCACCTGCACGCTGAGCGTCGGCTCCCCACAGGGCTGCGTGCTGAGCCCCCTCCTGTACTGCCTCTACGTCTACGACAATCTCATCGTATAGTTTGCAGACGACACTACGTCTCCGAGGGTGACGAGGCAGCCGACAGAGAGGAGGTCCTGGAGATGAACACCAAGAAAACCAGAGAGATCATCGTGGACTTCAGGAAGCACAGCACCGACCCAGCCCCCCTCTTCATCCACGGTGAGTGGGTGGAGAGGGTCCACACCTTCAGGTTTCTCATCTCCGCCGACATCTCCTGGACAGAGAACATCACAGCAGTCTGCTGAACTCCAACCTGCTGCTGACCTTCTACCGCTCATCCATCCAGAGCCTGCCGACGTACTGTATCACAGTAACAGCAGCTGCAGACAGGGCGGGGCTCCACAGGCTGCCCCCCCTTTAGAGACGTACACGCCCCCCCTCCTCAGGCCTGCAGACCCTCTGTTGTATTATTACTTTAAGTTCTGTGTTTATATTGTTTATGTTTATAGTTTATATTGTTTATGTTTTATATTGTTTATGTTTTATATTGTTTATATTGTTTATGTTTTATATTGTTTATATTGTTTATGTTTTATATTGTTTATATTTATATATTGTTTATTTAATATTTATGTTTGTTTTATATTGTTTATATTGTTTGTTTATATTGTTTATATTTATATATTGTTTATTTAATATTAATATTTATGTTTTATATTGTTTATATTGTTTATGTTTTATATTGTTTATTTAATATTAATATTTATGTTTTATATTGTTTATATTGTTTATGTTTTATATTGTTTATATTGTTTATGTTTTATATTGTTTATATTGTTTATGTTTTATATTGTTTATATTTATATATTGTTTATTTAATATTTATGTTTGTTTTATATTGTTTGTTTATATTGTTTATATTTATATATTGTTTATTTAATATTAATATTTATGTTTTATATTGTTTATATTGTTTATGTTTTTATATTTATGTTTTATATTGTTTATAGTTTATATTGTTTATTTTATATTGTTTATATTGTTTATGTTTTATATTGTTTATATTGTTTATAGTTTATATTGTTTGTTTTATATTGTTTATATTTTATATTGTTTATATTGTTTATGTTTTATATTGTTTATATTGTTTATAGTTTATATTGTTTATATTTATATATATTATATATTTAACAGTTTTAAACTGTTGTTGGAGTATTCAGTCTCATCGTCAGTGAAGACTTTCTATCTTTAAACAATCTTTAGTTTAAAATGAGTAAAATCTGATTCTGGATCAGTTTGTGTTTGAGAGTAACTGATCGATAAATCTGATTCATTGATTATTATTGATCATTGATCTGTGACTCACTGAGTCCCTCGCGCTGCTGACCTCCTCCGGTGTGTCCCTGTCGGCTCCCGTACTTTCACATTCGCACATTTTAACGTTTTCTGCCGATAAACTGCCGCCGGAGCTAACAGCTAACGGCTAACAGCTAACAGCTAACAGCTAACGGCTAACGGCTAACAGCTAACGGCTAACAGCTAACGGCTAACAGCTAACGGCTAACTGTTAGCTGCTAGCTGTTAGCTACCGAGATAAACACGTCACTGAAGTTTACCGCCGCGATGACGTCACTGTGTCCAACCGTTACAACGTCACAATATAAACTGTGACGTTGGACGTCGTTCGCGCGGTTTTCTGTCACAGTTTAGCCGCTGTTAGCATCGTTAGCATCGTTAGCATGTCGCCGCTGTGGGGAAGCTGTCGCTGCATCCAATGGCAACGGTGCGTCTGCAAACCGGTCCGGGTAGGAACACAGACTCAGTTAGAAAGGTTCCTGTGAGTGAGGTAATGTTAGTTTAGTTTTAAAAAGCTCGAGAAATTAATTTCAGTTTCACATCATCACAATTCTAAAAGCTTTAAAGGGACATTGTGTAGGAATAGTGCTCTCTAGTGTCTTCAAATGCGTATTGCAACTACGGAAGCTGTTATGTACCAAGAAGCCTTCCTGTCTTTCTCCTTCATTAACTCCCCGATGAATGAAGACATTGATTTTAGCTAATAAAACACTTAAAACTACACAATGTCCCTTTAAAGAGTTTAGCTGTGAGCTGAGTGCATCATGGGAAATAACTCTGTGTGTGTGTGTGTGTGTGTGTGTGTGTGTGTGTGTGTGTGTGTGGTTTATGGAGACATTTCGTCTGAATACACACTATAAGGACGTTTTGTATTACGAGGACAGGGTCAGGGTCCTCAGTATAAAAGTGTTCGTATAAACTTAGAAAACTAAAATCCAAAATTTCTCCAAATTCTAGAAATTGTCTCCATAATTCAGATAAATACCCGGATTTGTGTAAAATGTGTGTATTGAGTCAGAGCCCCTTTGTGTAAAAATTCAGGGCTCTGATTGGCTGACAGTGTGTAACCATCCTTACTGTTTATCAGGTGACCTCTCTTCACCCAATCATTTTGACCTTAAATCATTCCTGGTTAATATCCTGCTAAGTCAGCACACTGTTACTAGCACATGGGCGTCGGAGCCATCGTCACTCGGTCCTGGCCGGGCGCTCCTATCCGGACCCAGTCTGCGGGTTGTTTACGTGTTGATGCTCACCACCTCACAGAACAGGTAACTAAATGTCCATTGAATGTTGAGATTGACATCAGATGTTTTCAGTAGCAGAGCAGTTGTGACTGCTTGCTGATATTTAAAGGTACCGATACACAGTCCTCAGTTTGCATGTCTTGGTCAGGTGTAAAGACTATGAGGACAGTCTATGGATACCATTAAGTGTTTTATTGGTGTGTTTGCCAACATGATTTTTAACCTGACTGGTAAATTATCATGTCATCAATATCATCTAGCCTTTTTTAGTCCATATCTGCATTTTTAGCTTTCAAGATATTAGTGTCTACAGTTTTCTAGTCAACAATGGATGTTACTTTACTGTGTTCACTTAATTTCATTGAATAACTGAACAAATGTTTGTTTACATACTGTATATGTATAATGTATATTCTTTTCCTCAGTACATTTAATCAAGTACAGTCTTGTTGTGCCTTAATGGCTATTTAAAGATATTTTTCTCTTTTTCTACACAAGATTTCAACTGAGGCAGAAGATCACCATGCTGCTGTGGCATCGGACGATGAACAGATGTTGAACAGATGTTGAACAGGTAACTAAATGTCCATTGAATGTTGAGATTGACATCAGAACTTTTCAGTAGCAGAGCAGTTTTGAGCAATGTTTTTCAGGGTGTAGGTATAGTCTTCCCTTTTTCTATGCTGGTCAGGTATAGACACTCTTAAGGTCTGTATTTGGACACCCTCCATTTTTTTTCTTTTTCAAAAATATTTTTGTCAATTTTCTTAACAATTGAAGCAACAGATAAAAACACATATAATAATAAAAAAAATAAAATAAATAAAGTTTGACACAGACTATAACGTGTAAAACCAAAGTACACACAAAGAGGCTTAATATAGTATCAGAGTTGAATGTCCACTTGAGTACATCAATTATGGTAAATGGTAAATGGACCTGTACTTGTATAGTTTCCTGTCTAGTCTTCCAACCACTCAAAGCGCTACAGCCACATTCACCCTTTCACACACATTCACTCAGTGATGGCAAAGTCCATCGAACAGAAACTAACATTCATACACACTCACACACTGATGCACGGCATCGGGAGCAATTTGGGGTTCAGTATCTTGCTCAAGGATACTTCGACATGTCGCACCAGGAGCCGGGGATCGAACCCACAACCTTCCGATTAAGGAACGACTCGCTCTGCCTCTGAGGTAATTATGTCAAGATAGATACTCTTTAGGGGGGTTAACTACAGTTTCAGGTACTCCAAGATAGGTCCCCACACACCACAACATTTCTGTAACTTACCAGATATCTCATATCTCAGTTTTTCAATGTGGAGGATTCCTACTAGCTCCCTCAGCTCACACTCTCAAAATACATCTCTTTGCTATGACCATACCATA